TCTACTTTTGTTAAGACCTACTGCCACATGCTTACTACTTATTTGCTACTCTATATCTTCATTCTCAAAATTATATTATATTCACATCTATGCTACCAACTTATGTATGCATAGGCAATGCAATTGCACAAATGCAAATATCACTTTACTACATCTATGTAATGTATATTCCAATCTATAATCAAGCTAAGACAGTACATATACTGGCAATAGAATACTTGTATAAAATATGATTTTGCCAACTGAACAGTCTATAATGCCTCTTTTGGCCAATAAGATAGAAAGAGGAAATATAAAATTATATGAGGAAAATGAACAGAATAATTAAAGCTTATATAAGTGAGTATGTGCTCTAATGATGAAATTCTGACACCTGTGACTCATTTGCGTCTCCAGTTTCCATATTTCCTTATTCTGGTGTTACGCTGAATATTGCTTCTACTTGATATTTTATTTTCCCTTAACATCTTGAATGACCATATCACTTTCATTTTTTTTTTTTTTTTTTTTTTACACTTTTTTTCTTGTGGTTCATGCACACTCACCCAATTGTACTCGCTTAAATGTACTTAAGTTCTGTTCTGGGGGTTGATCCCCAAAGCTGCCACAAGGCAGGTCTCCTGCTGCAAAATATTTTAAATCCTCAATCACTAACCCATCAAGAATACATGTACCTCCTTTCATTATTTCTTGAACATTGAAACCCCATGAAATTTTTATCTCTTGTTGTGAAGTCCTCCTTTATGTCAATGGTCATCTTTGTTGTTGATACTGCTTTTGTTTTTAAATAACTTTACCCTTTTTCACTCACGTTTGATTAGTCGTTTTATCGCTGAAATTTTCCAAATTCCCTATACTGTACCTTCATGTATTCCTGGGACACCATTCATGGTCCTCAACCGTCAGTGGTTGAATACTTCGTCAATTTGATTTTCCTGGGGCTCTTTGATTCAGCAGCTAGCTACATCATGCCCTCTTGAAAAGCTGTTTAAATTCTGCTAAATTTTTTGAACAATTTATGTTAGCCTAGCCCAGAAGGCCTGGTCGAGGACCGGGCTGTGGGGGCATTGAGCCCTGAAATCATCGCAAGGTAACCGCAATGTAGCCTACTTCTTGTTTAGAATCAAGTGTTACCTCATCAAACTTTCGAACAACTTAAATTAATTATTTGAAGTTATGCCTGAAATGCTGTTTGAATTAGTGGCCTTGTTAAATACACATTGCAATATTAAATCACTATCATTCTTCTGTACATTTTAAAAATTGTTTTTATTATATATACAGTACGTATATAAACACACACACTCCAGATAAGGTTACTGACCACGTTTTTTCTTTTCCTTTTCTATTATATATTTGCTAAACGGAAGAATTATGAACTGTTTAGTGTGCAAATCCATATTGTGTACATTTCCCAAATGTCACAACTGTATATGTACTGCCTAAGAAGGAAGATATGTGCCAATACAAAATCAATGAATGTTAATACAATATTAAATTATGAATAATCTACATATGTTATAGCTGTTAATTCAAATGTAAAGCATACATCATTGCTAATAAATACAAAATCCCAAAAGTTGACATGTAGCCCTGTGGCCAGTGTCGTGGCCCTGTGGCCGGTGAAAAAGTCATGTAATAGTGAATTGAAAATGTTTGTGATGCAATGAAGATAAGTGAAGGTAATGTTATTGCAGTGGTGCACAGTTGGTGGTACTGTACTGTAATGGTGCACACATTGTAATTACCCAAGTGTAATTACCTAAGAGTAGTTACAGGATAAGAACTACGCTCGTTGTGACCCATCTTCACAGGACTTGCCCTATAACGCTTTAAATCTGCTGATGGTTTTGGCCTCCACCACCATCTCACCTAATTTGTCCCAACCGTCTACCACTCTGTTTGTGAAAGTGAATTTCCTTATATTTCTTCGGCAGCTTTGTTTAGTTACTTTAAATATATGACCCCTTGTTCTTGAAGTTCCAGGTCTTAGGAATTCTTCCGTATCAACTTTATTGATTCCCATTACTATTTTGTATGCAGAAATCATATTGCATCTTGTATACAGTAATGTATGCAGTAATCATATTGTATGCATATTGTATGCAGTAATTCTCTCTCCGTGTGAGGTCAGTGGAACTCCCAGTTACAATTCTTTTACCATGTCGTGGCCTAGTCGACTAAGGCAGCATCTGGGATCATTCCGGGAGTAAGTTCTAACCTTCATCATGGCCCTTGTGCATTTGTTAGTGTTCATATAATTCTGTATTCCATCTGGTAGGTTGTTTATGTAGACAATGAACATTACTGACACTAGAACTGAACCCTGATATTGTGGTACTGCAGTACCTCTGGAGCTAATTATGTCTGTCTGTGGTGTTGAGGGGAAAGTAAGAGATATGTGCCAATGTTGTGGTGGAGATTGTGGTTATACAATTCCTGTGGTATTATTGCAGATATGACGCTAAGCACATTATATCGTATAATGAGATGTGCTTTGGCTTAGTCCTTGTGGAGAATTGGGAAGAATTTGGCAGGTCTAGGAGAATGGGGAAGGGGGCATGTGAGACTGATGTTAATGAAGACAAGTGTCAAATTAAAATTATGGAAAATGGTACAATTATGCAAGTTACATTAGAAAGCTCATGTGAATGCATGCATCACATGTGACTGCAATAACCAAAAATACAGTGGTGGGTAGGTATGGTACTGTTTTGTCTTAATGCAAGGAACCAAGACAAGAACCAATAATATATGGAGACAAGGGATAGGCTACATCAGGAATATGTTTATATATGTAGCACAGATTAGTGTTACTGTAGCATGGAGTCAGGACTTAAGTTACAAATTCTAGGCGATACCATTAATGAATCATGATACTGTACTACCAAAAATTTTAGTTTAGAACTACAGTATTTATATATTATATAGTATGAACCACATTAAAATGATTTATTGGATTGTGATCACAGGAGTTGGAGAAGGTTAGTACATCTAGGTCTACACACATGATGAGATGGATAATAAGAAAACGAAAACAACATGAAAAGCTGTTTCCCCTCAAGGATGCTCACAAAACTACAGTGCATTAAAATAACGCTAGCTGTCAGTACATACGATACCGTCACCTTCAAACTAAACCAAGAAAACAACTAAACAGGGCTCAAGCACCATGGCACAGAAAGAATATTCAGCAACAAAATTAAGGTCCTTCCAATCACAGCATCTTTGAGTGCGACCACTTAGAACCAATAATGATGACAATACCAGCCAAATGCCACTACGAATAATACTGTAATACAAAATACGCCGTGATAAAAAATACAGTACTGCAATACAAAATATGATACTGTAATACAAAACTTTCCATGCACAAGCATATCAGAGTAAAATTAAAAGAAATCACCATAAAATAGGCAGGAATTTCTGCACACGTGACAGCAGAGAACTAAATTCATGTTTCTGGAAATGTCAAATTTCAACATAACCCAAAAAATCAGATAAAATGCCATTTAATGTTGCAAAACTTAGTTGAATGTAATTTACTTCTGAATTTTTATTACAGTATTATAAAAACTGTTTTTACCATATGTAATTTCTCATAGAAAAAAAACACGTACACGAATGGGTGCGTACACACACACACACACACACACACACACACACACACACACACACACACACACACACACACACACACACACACACACTCGCGAACACACTCGCGAACACACTCGCGAACACACTCGCGAACACACGTGGGAGGGATCAAATTACCTGTAATGCACAAACACTTACTTACATTCATGCTCTGCTTTAGGTGAAAAAGTGTAATGTTAAATTTGTTATGGTGAACTATTATCTAAATTTGGCTTAAGGAGAGGAAGGGACAGGGAGATGAAGTTAGGACAATAGAAAAATGTATGGAAAGGAAAAGCCAACATTGTCGGATGAAAGAAATCCGGGTACAGTATTTAAAAAGGTTTCCAAAGCTCACTGCTGCCCTCTTCAGTTGTGGCTCAAATCTTCAACTGAATTAGGTGCTAGCGGGGTATTGACACACTTTTGCAACTTATCTTTCCACCAATAATGTTGTTTTTAGCATCTTGGCATTTTAAGGTTAGTAAGAAATTTATCCATAGCAAGTAAAATGACCACTTTCGATAATTTGTATATTTTAATACTTCTATATATAGAGAGCACTGCCCTTTAGCTTGTTTCCAGTCCACACTAGTTTCATGGTTAAATCATAGATGCTTCACAAAAAGTCAACTTGCCTGTAAACATCCCACTGTGTATTCCAATCATTTCAAATATAAAAAAGCATAAAAGCAGCTACTGCACCCTAAATTCTTCCCAAAGCTTCCCTTCTATTAGTCCCTCAACCAAAGCTGTTTTGGTTACAGTAAGCAGCCTATGTGTACCAACAAAAGCACTACATTGTTAATGGTAATACATTACACCCCTACACAGGAGGAACTTTGCTGGAGAACCAACATTCGGAGGCTAAGAGTCAACCACAGTGCATATCTTTAATGTTTGGCCAAATATTTGCTTTCTGATCAACAAGGAATGCATTTCTAATTTTAAACTATTATTATGGTAAATATATAGATATACTGTATTCTTTTATCATTAAAATATGCATGAGACATACTGTGCATTGATCTTAAAACTTGCATACAAACCTTTAAATTATTTCAGGTGAAAATGGTACATGTTATGCTGTTCACATGGCGTAAATGACTGCATTAAACGCAAATTTTGAAAGGCCACTAACAAAAAGTTTACTTATTCAGCACATGCTGTATATACCATTGTCGCTTTAATACACAATGACAGCTAAATTATAACGCTTTCTTGACAAAATCATAATTAATATGCATCCATTATTAAATGATAACACATCCACACAAAGCATTGTTGCAGCACACTGAAGAAAAGTCATGATACCAGCCTGGAGGGGAACTAAAGAGCACGCACAGAGAAAATCTCCTTACTTCCTTGTGAAGTTCCCGAGAAAGGGAAACACTTGTAATTGGGTGCCTGGCTGGCTTGACAGAGCGTGCAGAGGGCCACCAGTGCCAAGACTATCCTGCCCTCTCTCCACGTCAATCCCGCCATGATGCCAATAGTGGTGGGTGCCAGGGAGGTGGGTCAGTGGCACAGAGGTAGTGAACTGGCTGGCTGAAGGGACACCCTGAAGATGCTCCACCTCCACTGTCAATACTAGCACTACATCCTTTCCACCTCCATATGCCCTGAAATAAATAAGTGCACGAGTTAGAATCACAGACATGTATATGTAGATTGTTACAAATGGGCGAAACCAACACTCTCGGTAACATGTTCAAAGTAACATCAGTCAGCTGTGAAAATATTTACATTTACACAACTAATTAAAATACTGTACATTAACAATGAATTTATAGTTATAATGAATTTAACAAGTTATAGAGATCTAGATCAGTGTCTGTGCCGAGTTTATTATTCAGCAATGGGAGCCAAGATGATGCAAGTTAAGACAGCTCCATTTTAGACTATATCCTGTTATGAGTACAATATAAGTTAGCTGTTTTAAGGTGAGGGATATCTTGCTTTGTCAAAGTTAAAGCTATATTACTGTTTAGTATCAAAACATGCAATAATCATGTACCTAAATACGATTATTATTAATATTTTTTACTGTGTCACTTAACTACTGAAGACTTTTATATTTTAACTGTTCATAATAATAAACCTCATAATTCCATAACAGATACTTTACATGGAAAAATATGAATAAGGCAAATGATAAAAGATACAAGTTTCATTAATAAATTATAAAGTTTGGCGAGATAGCTTTCAAACTGAAGATTCGCCCTATTTCGTTCAGTGCTCTATTTTCAGAGATAACACCCAATGACAAAGACAAATGCACGCGCACATCCAAATATATGCAACAAAGCTTGTTTCAGAGCTGAGACGACTGATATCTACGACCAAAGTCTTTGGGAAATGGATATAACCACATTAGAGCAAAGATGGTAAAGAGAGGACATAATAACGGCTTAAGATTCTACGCAGAATTGGTCAATTAGACAAATAATGATCAAAGTGAGGGACAGAGGAAAGAACTGGAAAGTCACATCAATCAGATAAAACACATCTAGCTAACAAGTTCAAAAACAATTTAATGGGTAGGATGAAGATAAAAAAAAAAACATTTTGCAAACATGCATTATACTATACCAGGGAGTATCAATAAAATAGAAATTGTTTAAACTGAACAGCAATACAACGAGAGCAGGTATGCAATGGTAACCTCTAAAATCACATAAGAGATGTGAGGAAACACTCCATTTAAAGGAACGGTAATCAAGTTGAAGGAGCTAGAATAAATTGTAGTAGTAGAAGGGGCTACCTCTGCCTAGTTTTATATGACAAGAAACCCAGGGACGGGAATCAATAGGCGACCCCGGAGGGGTTCACGAGCTTCAGCTCAGCCCTGCAATCTCAGTTAAGTAAGGAAACTGGCAAGAACAATTCCTCGTCGGCGTCTGGTGTTTCGCAATACATAAACTTTATAAATATACTAATGTTCTCGCTGAGTCAATATGGATGTGGAGTGCAATTGTTATTTTAAGCCCCATCCCCTTCCCCGCACGAGGCTAAGCCCCGTCCCTCTCCCCGCACGAGGCTAAGTTTCCTCCTCCACACTTTTCTCTTCCACATCGGTCATCCTTCCTTTTTTCCAAGCCCAACCAAGGTCCTCTCACTGTATATGTGCCACTTGCTCTCTCTTCACCACTTCCGCGGTGAGAGACTGTCTGCTCAGTCTTGGAGGACAACCTATATTATATTGTGATGCCTTTATCCACGCCAATGGATTTTAGACAGCCTACAAATCTTGTCAAATGAAAGGATGAAGACTCTTATCCCCCTCCTTTAGATCTTTCTCCAATCTTCAACTCTCTTCCTTCCCTTAGACCTTCCTCCCATCTACTCCTCTCACTCCTCTTAGACCTGTCTCCCATTTCCCCTAAGCACCTAATAACTCACTGTCGTCAGGGCGCTGGGGTTTCCAATGATGCTAGCTACTTAGCTAGCTGGCTAACATAGCTAACACAAAAAAACTTAGTTTACCCGTAGCCGATTTCGGTAGATGCTGTCCATGCTGTTGGACGAGTGGATTGACAACTGGTTACCTACGATTGACTGGCGCTAACTGTCTGGAGTAATCAACGACTGATTAAGCTGATTAATCAGATTATTAATAAGAGTAAGAGGTTCACCAAACGACTTGCTGGTCTGTGGACTAGCTTGATGATCTACTACCTAAATTATTAACTAGCACAATATCTTCTTACCAAGTGGTTAACTGACTTGTTTTAACCGCCTGGCTAACTCTTGGGCAGTTTACCAAGTTTCCTTATTGCCTAAAGCACAGGACAATGACTTCCAGTCCTTGTGGTTTGCTCTGATGGAAAAGACAAGTGAGGGAGCACCAGTTTGAAAGAGGAACTTGTGACCTTGAAGCCATGTCAAACAAGAGAGTTGTTGTTGTTGTTAAAGATTCGCTACCTGGAACAAAAAGTTCCAAGTAACACAGGCTATGGTGAGCCCGTATAGGGAACAAGAAGTCACAAAAGAAACCACGGCCACGCCACCCCTAACAGTTCAATAAAACATCTTACCAAGTTAACACGTGTGGTTCGCATATACTCTTAACATACTTTATGTTGGTATAATCAAACCGTTGGATTATTGCAAAGACGTGAAAAATAAAGATGTTAAATGTCAATCGCTGCTATAATTTACGAAACCACGAACCACGGTAGTTATACACTACGCAATTATAAAACACTGATTTATTTAACTGGTATACAATAATACACACTGCCCAAACCCCGCGCTCTTAACACGGCTGTCATTATAACCCAACAGGTATTTTGAAACGAGCACAACTCGCGCGCGGGAGTTCTTTTTTCACCTGGCGCCGCGCACCTGTGGAAAAATACAATGTTGTCCGAACGTCCTCACGCGTGCACGCCCACAGACACTCAAGACGACTCCACAACCGGTTTTGTTCTACCTGTGGCCTCAAGTGTTACCAGACCTCCCTGCTGGCCACCAACATAACCCCCCACCCCCCCTCCATCCACTCCCCTGGAAACACAAACCGAAACTGTCTCTATTTTCCGCTTGTTACAACTTGTAATAAAGTTGTTACATCTTGGCTTAACGTGTTTATGACGTATTAGAACGTTGTTACAACTTGCAATATTGCTTGTTATAGCTGGTTAGGAGGTGTTAAAACTTGTTCGAACGTTGTACCAACGTCGTAGTTTCGGTGTGTGTTTGGCGGGTCCCTCCCCCAACCACCATCCCATCCCCCAACCACCATCCCCCTACGACCAGTATCATCCCTACCACCACCACCACCATCAACCCACATGTGTCGGCCAACCTTCAAGCAACGTCTGGCTGCGGTTGCGCGCGCGCATACTTCGATCACCGTTTTCATTACGGTTACATAATATGAAAATTGGGTCCAGCAGTAATATTTATGGAATATACAAGCTGAAAATTGTATAATTTGTAATTCGTATGCCACACCATCGTCATGGCCTCACTGCATTCATCTTGCCAGTGTCAGAGAGCGAGCAAGAGAGAGCGAGCAAGAGAGAGAGCAAGAGAGAGAGAGAGCAAGAGAGAGAGAGAGCAAGAGAGAGAGAGCGAGAGAGAGAGCAAGAGAGCAAAAGAGCGAGCGAGAGAGAGAGCAAAAGAGCGAGCGAGAGAGAGCAAAAGAGCGAGCGAGAGAGAGCAAAAGAGAGCGAGAGCAAAAGAGAGCGAGAGAGCAAAAGAGAGCGAGAGAGCAAAAGAGCGAGAGAGAGAGAGCAAAAGAGCGAGAGAGAGAGCAAAAGAGAGCGAGAGAGAGAGAGAGCAAGAGAGAGCAAAAGAGAGAGTGACTGTATTCCGTCTCTTGTCCCACAACAATTAAATGACGGGATAAAGTGGTGCGCGCGCGCGCGTTTGCAAGTTGTGACGTCATACATAGCCCATTTTCGCAAAGATGGCGAACAGCATCGCCCCAGAAACTTGGGTCCCCGACAATTCTCCGAACCTCCTGAACATTTCCTCGGAAACCATTGATCCTAAGGCGTTGCCAGTGCGAGATCCAGGGCCGAGGCTCGCCCACCGTTCAACACACACACACATTAAAAACTCAAGATTCGACTCGGCCAACTGAATAGGGATTCGGTATTCGTGGCCGGCTTGCCGCCCCTGGTGATATTCCGTCTTGGGAGAGACAAGACAATTCAGTTTACATCTCCAGAGGTTATTTTAAGACTCTTAGCCGTGACATCTGGCAACCTGCTCGTGACGCACGAATATGGCCGTCACCTCAGCTGTTCGTATATTAAATCAGCGTTTATAACCCCACGACTTTATTTTGGGTATAAATCGTCCAGACACCCCTGCAAGCAATATGATTAAAAGCTGAATCACCCCCCCCCCCCCGCATAAAAAAACCTACCCCCGACCTTTACTATATTAACGAGGCCTGATCAATACGGGCTGATATTAAGACTACTTGGCACCCCACCTTCTCGGTATTGCCGTCAGACTCTACTTTTAATCAAGGCTCCGGTCTGTGTCACAGCATAGTTTATGCCACATAAACCACTAGGCGCTGAATATTCCCTGGTACAGCTAGTCCTCCCATCAGTAGTAATATTCCCCCCATGCACCTGTGACAAGAAAACCCAATACATTGCTAACAGATACTAGAGAAATATGTTCAAACTACAAAAAAGGTCAAACTCAAGGCTGCAGCGTCTTATTTTTTTTACCATTTTTTTTTCTAGTGACGAGTCTGCTTGCTACTTTGCTTAGCAAGCTATTCTAAAGTATTTTTTTCGGTGTAAATAGTTAATCCGTAGTTCAAAAGTGACGCTCTTGCTAGATGTTGAATTGCCTCAACTCATTATGTGCTAACAGGTTCTCATTATTATATAATAGCCTAATAAATTATCATATAGATATTCTACGAATATCAAATAAGGTACCTTAGATACGAATCGACAAAAAGCCTTTATTAAAAACACGAAATATAATAATTATGCTAATAATCCTTAAATACGCCTCGTTGGCACGCCATCACAGTACGTCAATAATCGTCCGAACAGCCTCAACACCCGCACACCAGTTGCATAACTCACTCTCAACATAAAACATCATAATCCTAATACTATCACGAGTTTAAGAATCATCGCCG